TGCAGCTGAAAATATCTCTCCAGCAGAGATAGCAGCTCACAGGGGTGGGCTCTTAAGCCATAGCATTATGCACACACATTCTTATTCAAATGAATGTGTTTGACCATTTTCTGCAGGATATGAATCCATTAAAATAACCCATTTATACCGTTACGGGGTTAGATATTATCTGCGAGTAATACGGATTTATCCAGGGTGTGTCTGAATGTCTCATTTTGGTTTCTTTTCTTTTCTCTTATTTTTTTGAGTCGTGATTTTTTTTCTCTGTTCTTGATGTCAAACGAAAACTTTCTTTGTGATAAACTCCAAGATTTTATGGTAATTTGAGTTGGACAACTTCCCTCCAGATGGCTTGTTCTGGACATAATCAGCCGTAGTTTGTCTTGAACTTTCGTTTGTCTGCACCATCGATACCTACAGCGATTTCCCTATTTTTAGACGGGGCATGTGTGTAGACGATCCCTGTTCTAAAGGTCGAGACAGAGGGGGGAAAAACAGGAAAGGCATCTAAGTGTCCATGCTGTCATTAAAATGTTTGGGCATAACTGGAAACCAGCATCGCGGTACGTCACCAGTTAACAATGGAATCCGGGAGTCAGCTGGATGGGACATGTGAGCTTCAGATTCACTTTGATTCCCTCAAACTCCGCTGTTGACACTCGTCTTTCTGCCACCAAATCACTGCTCAATTTGCTGTGCGGCAGCGAGCATCTGAGGGTTTCAGGTTGCATGTCTCGCCGAGTTTATTTACAGCTTCCTACGAGCACGATGCATGATTTAATGCCGAGTTTAATAAAATATTCAAGTGCACAAACAGGAGCATGAAACTGAAATAAACATAACATGCGACAGACTTTGCATTGCTGATTTCTCTCCTCCTGCCTCGCTGCACGTTGGCTGTGGAACGAAGTGTCAGCAAGAAACTGTAAACACGATTAAATTAAAAAACTTTTACAGAGCAGCTGCACAATCAGAAGAACTATTCCTCCTACACTGTGTGCAAGCCTCGTAAGGTGTTTAGAAAAATGTGCACGTGCATCAGATAATCGTGTGTTACTAAAAAAAAAAACGCATCTTGGGTTGGAAATGCTGTTTCTGAGATTTCATGTCTTGGAGGAAAAAAAATATCGTATTGATTTAGTTGTAACCAACATTTGCTGGATAAAAATTGCCGCTCTTTCGGTGCAGCGATAATGAGCACAATTTTGTGTAAATGCTTATCTTAAACACCCACTGAACGCGACAGATGACCAACATGTGGGTGTGAAAACTGGTAATTATCCAGCGAATCACAGCAGGTCACTGCAGAGTAGATCACACATGACTGGGAGTATATGGGTAAAGGAGTGTGTGTGTGTGTGTATATGTGCGAGTGCAATTATTTGTGTGCACTTGTAGGTGGGCGGATGGAGAGGAGGGGTGCCGTTTGTACATGCCAGTGTATGTGTGCGCTTGTAAACTGTGAATGTGAACGTGAAGGTGCATGTGTATTTGCATGTGCGTCTGCTGGAGGAACATTGTTCCGTTACACAATGCACGTCTTTGACATTCCAGCTCCACCTGTCAGCGTGAACAAAGGCCTTTCTGCCGGGCTTTGACATGTGTGAATCTGCTGCTGGCCAGCGGAGATAGCGGTCCTGCATGTGGGTGGACAGCCTGCAGAGTTCTCCCTGACCTCCTGCGTGATCTGTCTTTCAGGCTGCATAACTTAAACTGGGGCTCAGTAGGAAACACGACTGATGAGGAAGCTCTGCTGAATGATTGGCCTCTTGCTAATCAAACAAACTGACATCTTGCACCAGCGACTGATGCCGACACATTGTCAGTCAGGCAGCGTGAAAAAGGTGTCGCCCTTATTCAAGTAGCGTGACAATCAGAATCCCTTTTATTTTTAGCCTCCCCATCAGGTTGGTTTAAAACACACCAACATCAGCGGACCTTCTGGATTTTCAAGTCCGTAAAATGAAAGCTGGAGTCTTTGATTTCATGTGACTTTTGTGTGTTTACAGTTTTAACCTTTTCAGAAACTGAAAATACATCCTCCTGAGGTTGGACTGAAGGTGACAGTTAAGTACCGAGCAGCAGTGATTTCCGACCAGCGGCGCCGGTAACCCAGGGGAGAGTTTTGCCGTTGCCGTGGGGCTGCATGAGAAGACTGTGGAGCAGCTCGACTCCACTGGATGAAAATACAAACGCAGCACGTGTCTGGTCTTCTTCTTCTCTCACTTGAAGGAAAAGTTGAAAATGGAATTCCTCCTGTTTCAGTTACAGAAGTGTTTCATTTATCTGCCTGTGAGCAAAGAGTTTCTGATCTGCTTAGCTGGTGACAAACTCTACGACGATCAGACGGTGTGACCAGCTGACAGACACGCCTTTGACCAGTGATTATAGAAGTCCAGCTCAAAATGCAGCTTTTTTTTTTTTCTCGCAATGACGACAGGAAGACGAGCTGTTGGCTGCTGGATGGAAAGTAATCGCTTCAGACAGCGCTGGACTGACACAATCCTGTCGCCAAAAATGTCCGTCAACTCCACCGAGTCCTTCAGGAGGAGCTGAACAACCTCGATAACTCCGCCTCACAGATGTGTGACTCATTAACGACTTGTGGTTTTCGGTTCATGACCTCGCTTTCGATCAGGCCATTAGCTTTTCCAATACAGTCAATTCTGTCGGAGAGACGCTGTGTTGGGACAACAAACACCTATTCATTCCCGTGTGTTAAAAACTAGTGACAGAACTCAATAAAATACTACATGTTGCTCAGTTTTTTTGAAAGCTGACACCTGAAAGCTTGTGTATGGAAACCAGGAGACATGCAAGAAGACAAATCTCAAAAGTTAGCAGAAAATAAGTCTTAACTGAAAGTACTACATGAAGCGATGTCGGCTGTTGTTACCTGTAGCTGCACTATTTCCCATTCATTTGTGCATAAACAGTTAAAACAGCCGGAAAAAGCAAAGATTTTACTAAATAATTAACTAGAAGCGACAGATGAATGCTTGAAACTCACTCCAGGAGCAGCAGCAGATGAATCAACCTGAACCGCTCTTCATGGCTGATATTAACTGGATAATACCAACAGAACTGCATCCCAACAACAAGTCCTGCATGACTAAAGGACACCAGTGAATTTATTGAATGTAACAGGCTGTCTGTAGGAATGAATGCATCTCAGATGAGCACAGAGGGAGCCGAACCTGAATCTCAGCTAAAAAAAAAAAAAAAAAGACGGAACAAGAAATCCATGGAGAACGACTCCTGTGCAAATAATGAGCAGAAACTGTGGGCCACCATGAAATCTATTACAGATATGACTCCCGCTTGGGCAGCACAATACAATAGCAAATGACTCAAACACTTTCTCCATTAGGTTTGATCCACTCGGTTTGTCTCTAGAAACGTGACGGTGCCGTTTACAGCATAACAACTTACGGACAGACGTTTTTAAAACACCAATGAGGGAACATAGAGGAACTTAGAGCAGCTTCATTTCTGTCTTTCAAAGGCCTGTTGATTCGTATACAGTTGGATCTCTGTGGAAAAAAGCAATCATTATAAAAATTTGCCAGACCAGCAGCCCTGACCTCCGTTATAATGACGCGTCTGGAGAAGCTGACGGTGTGGAAACATAAGCAGACGTCTGTTTTCCTACCTGTTGAACTACGACGGTGACCGTGGCGCTGATGCTGCGACACTAATGAGAGTAAAGTTTTTTTGGCAACACCTTGAAAACCCTCAAGGCCTACACCTGCTCTTAAGACGTCTGTGAACTAATATATCATCACGTGGTGGTCCAGTTTTTGACCCAGGAGATGCAAGTGAACCAGGCATTATCTGAACCTAAAAGTCATCAACACTGGTGGTGAATGTCCATCCATCCATCATCTCTACACCTTAACCCTCACCAGGGTCATGGGGGGCTGGAGTCTATCCCAGCTGACTCAGGGTGAAGGCAGGTTCACCTGGACAGGTAACCAGTCTATCACAGGGCTACACTTAGAGACAGACAACCAAGCACACTCACATTCACACCTACGGACAATTTACAATCACCAATTAACCTCAGCATGTTTCTGGACTGTGGGAGGAAGCCGGAGAACCCGGAGAGAACCCACGCTGCACGGGGAGAACATGGAGACTCCACACAGAAAGATCCCAGGTGTCTCAAACCGGCGACCTTCTTGCAGCCCGTTTTCATGGATGCGTGAGTTCTGATATTCTGTTCAGGTTATGTACAAATGAGTGTCCAACACTTTCATTGGAAAGTTGGAATATTTTCTAATCACACTGCCGTCTATCTTTGGACTAATCAATAATGAACACGGACGTTTCTGGCTGTAGTTTGGAGGTTAAAACGTTGATGCTCCTGTTAACTGTTCTCCATGAACACTAATGTCATTCTTACACTTTTTTTCCACATACTGACTGTAAACTTTCTCAGAACGTCCTTGAACACTCTGTGTGCACCAGGCTGCAGCAGCAACTCTACTTCCTGCAAAATTTCCAGTTGTTTGGAGGTGAACTGAAGGGAAATGTGTTGTTTTTTTCCAATGCTGTGATGATGGACCCTGTGCTTGGTTTGCTGACCTCTCGGTTGAGTTTAAACCACAAATAAATAGAGCGTTCCACACGGCAGTAAAAGTGATGAGCATCCCTCCCTCCAGATGCTCTCTGAGAGTTAAACGGGCCGGCGGATTTACTGCCGACTCCTCCCGTGTCCTGCATTCAGAGTGAACTGCTCCCATCAGGTGGATGCTGTGGGGTTCCAATTAAACACGGGAAAAGATACCACCTGAATATGTATAAAAACTCTTTCATCCTTCTATCAGCGAATCTCTCCAGCTCAGGACTTAAGGTGGTGTGAAATGAGGCCGTGTGTTGTGAGATGCACTTGATGCCTGTTAATCACTTTTATGATTCAGCCTTCATGTCTACGACTAATTTCCCAACAGGGACAGCCATCGTGAAACACTTCATGGTCATAATAAAATCGACGTCTGTACAGTTAGTTGCGTTTAATAACATTCATTTTAAAATCACTTCAGACGAACACAGTTGACAAGTGTTAAAGGGGGAACTTCATTTAACGGGACGTCGGGGGAATAAAAGACAAACCACTGCTTTACAGGTCAGTAAAGTGAGGAAAAGGCCTCGATCACGACAAAAATCTCAGGTTAAATGTTCAGAATTTAACCCACAGTGAAGCCGAAGATGGTCGCCACATCAGAGTTGATATATCCACAGATGAACCAGCACAAACTCCTCCACTGCATCAGTTCACAGAGGCTACTCGATGCAAACAATCCCTCCTCCTCCACAAGGTGTGTATTTACATTCAAGGTATGCTCACAAAACACGGGGGAGCAAAGCAACACAATCTTGACATAAATCATCCGGCAGGTGGCCACCGCGGAAATGACATTTGAATTAAATATACTTTAATTACGGCTCCCCCACGGTGGCGGCAAAATTTTTATGAGGATTGTTCTATTTGTGCAGCAAGTTTGGTGTCACTCAGACTAATGGCGTAGGAGTCGAGACCTTTCAAACTGTGAAAATTTAACCTTTAAATATAGCACCCATTAAGGCAATTTAGAGGTCCCTTTTAAACATAGGACACAGCGTGAAAACGCACGGTGCTTTCAAGTTTCGTCAAAATAACAGCAGTAATGCATTAGGAAGCATACTTCCCTGACAGCTCTGTTCGTTTCTGTACTTTCTCCTTCAGATTTGCTCAAAAACTAGTTGAACTCAAATGCTTTTTTTCTCCATTCAATCCCCCTGCCTGTTGCTTCTTCCTCCTCATGCATAATCGTGGTCAAGTTTATTCCCCCTGCACCTCCACAGAGTGGTGGTAGCTGCTGCTGTAAAATTTAAACCCATTACAGGAACATGTCCTGCAGCCAAAAAAGAAGGTTCTGAGGTCCCGATTTCAGCAGCGTGAGCTTGACAAGAAAATTCAGGCCAATGACACAGTCGCTGCTCTTCAGATTCCTACACAGAAGTATGTTTTTTATATATATATATATGTATTTAATACGTTACCTCCAGATCAAACAGTGTCAGCTACGAGAAAAACACACTGATGCCATGAAGATCACAGGCAGAACGAGAAGACAGGCCTCATGATATGTTGCTTTTGAATCCCCCTGCCAGATACCTCGAGTGCATCTTTAAAGTGTCTGCGGCTGCAACACTGGCTTCATATTTCAGCTGTGATGTCTGTACATCCCTCACAAACCCCATCACACTTGGTGTTTTCTCCTGGAGGAGCTGTCTATGCTCATTATTTAAAAACAAACACACACTGTGGTATATGTTTCTGCACAGAGGAACAAGCTACAGTGAGTCTACAGTATAAGTGTGAGAACTGGGGATGGGGGGTGTTATATAAGATGCCTACATGGGGGGGAATCAGTGTGCAGGCTGTTCAAACAGAACCCCTCAGCCTACAGGGACTCACTGCGCAAAGGCACAGCTCATCAAGTCAATATCTCACACATATATGTCCCTTTAATAGGCGCGATTCCTCAAAAAAACAAAACAAAAAAAAGGCTCCTTGGAGACCATGACTGCGGTCTCATTGTCTCTATTTACAAATCACGGTCGTGTCATTAACCCAGATCTGACAGGAGTTTGAATAATTCAAAAATGAATAATTAATTTGATGTTGTTTATCTTCTATATCTTGCAGATTTATTTTTTTTTCTCTCCAAACGATGCAAAGTCTTTTCAGGAGATAAAATATTCACTGGCCTCTGCTGTGCTCTCAAAGCTCGTGTCCATGCTGGGGGTCTGGATGCCCGCCGCGCCCCTGGGATCCTTCAGTAAAGGGATGTATGTGTCGCTGTGACAGGAGCGCATGGCGTTGTCCCACACGCCCGCGCCGCAAACATGTTTATGGGCGCCGGGTGCCGCCTTCAGCTCGCCGTCGCCGGTGCGCAGCGCCATCAGCTCGATCTCGTGCTTGGCCGCAGTCTCCAGCACCTGTTGCTTGTTGTAGAACAGCACGAAATTGTTGATGATGGGGTGTATGGGCAGGGCGATGGCGATGACCCCGCACAGAAAGCTGATGGCCGCGTTACACCGACCCAGAGTGGTTTTGGGGTACACGTCTCCATAGCCCACCGTGGTCATGGTGATCACAGCCCACCAGAACGACTGCGGGATGCTGGTGAACAGCGTGTCCGGGTGGTTCTGCTCCATGGTGTAGCCCAGTGCGGAGAAAAGGAACACCCCGACGCCCATGTACATGAGGAGCAGTCCGAGCTCTTTGAAGCTGCTCTTCAGGGCAGATGTGAGGGTCTGGAGTCCAGAGGAATGGCGTGCCAGCTTGAAAATGCGCGCAATGCGCATTATGCGTAAAGCCTGCACCGCCTGCTGCACGTTAGCCAGCTCCATCATTCCTGCGCCGAAGGAGGTCAGAATCAGCACCACGAAGAAGGGCATGATCGCCATGAAGTCGATGATGTTCATGAAGGCGAGCACGAATTTGATTTTGTTTGGGGAGGAGATCAGGCGGAGGAGGTACTCGATGGTGAACCAGCCGATGCACACCGTCTCGATGACCTCCAGAGTTGGGTGCTCCGTCAGGTTGCCCTCCGAGTCCTCCACCTGCAGGTCGGGGATGGTCCCGACGCACATCACCACGGAGGAGACGAGGATGAAGATGAAAGAAACTATAGCGATGATGTGCGCGGGCAGCGAGGACTCCGGCTTCTCCATCAGCCTCCAGAGGCACATCTGGAAGCGCTGCCAGCCTCCTGCGGACGGATCTCCCTCCCGGTCCACCAGGATAGTTCTCACTTTCTCGGCAATCTCCGCAAGTTCATCCTCCACCTCCTTCAGGTGGCATTTACAACATTCATCCAAGAAATCCGAGTCGATTTTCCAGAACTCCATCTCCTTCATAAAACAAATTGGACAGATGCCTCGTTTCATGTGAATCTCTCCATAATAATACAACTCAATGATGCACTTAAAGGCTTCGGGGTCTCTGTCAAAATAAAATTCTCCTGTCTCGGGGTCGTAATCATCACATAGTGCAGATATTTCTTCAGCAGACTTGAGTGAACAATCCACCAGTTCTGCCAGTCGGGTGTCCGGGTAGCGGTTCAACACGTCTCCGTACAGCACCTGCTTCACTCCGCCGATGTTCACCACGATCTCCGTCTCCTCGCTGGCTTCAGAGCCGTTGCAGTCCGCGTACCGCGTCTTCTGGATCCCCCACATTGTGTTGACAGGTCCGCCACAAAAACAAACCAACCAATGAGGATTTCCAAAGAAACTGTTGACCGACAAAGTGGACGCAAGTCACCAGAAGCTCTGGCGCTGTGCGTAAAAGCTCCCGAACCTTCTGAGCTCCGCGTTCTGGATGGAAAAATAAATATGTTTGCTCAGAAGCGACTGCAGCGCGAAGTCTTCTCACTTCCACACAGCCGCGCCTGGCAGTGAACAGTGCGCCTGTGCGCTCTGAGAAAGTTGGCATTGAAGTGCGCGTAATGTCAAGTCAGCCACAAACAGAGCGGAACTTCCAGGAGCGCATTTCAAAATAAAACACTTGCTCGGTAATGATGGAGCGGATTGACGTACAAGTGCACAATTACTCTTTAAAGCGCAATTAAAGTGTAAAGAAGCATCACGTGGAAATACATTAATGCTTAATTGGCTACCCAACACTAAAACTTACAGTTTCTCTTCTCTGTATGTGGCTTTGATTTAACCATGCTGGTGGAACACTGCAGCACAGCTTGTTTGTGTTAAATGTGGTTAAATCGTTTGTTCCTGAACTTACCTTCCTTTGTTCCTTCACTCTCCAGGCAGCACTAGTGTTCAGGTGGGAGCCGCCCAGCACTTCCTGATGTTATCTTATTGGTTACTTCAGAGTGACATCACTGGGCCGGACCAAGTGCAGGGTTCTTCTTTTTTGATGCATGTTTGTTTTGCATTAAAAAGGCATCATTCAGTCGTGACTTCACATGTTTAGCTTTTAGAGAGACATTTAAATAAGCCAATGAGTTTGTAGTGTGTACAGTGATGCTGTTTGCAGTTTTGTTTGCATCGAGGTCACAGAGCAGGTCACCGTTTTTGAGTAGGTATGGGTTATTTAGACGTTATTTTTCCTTGTAAATTATTTTGTTGCATTATTTTGCCACTTTGAGTTTCATACTGCCAAATAAAACTGTCACCTATTTTGCAAACAAGAGTTTTCCTGCTTGCCAACTTCCGTCACCTTCTGTCCAGACGACTCTACGATATCCTCGACACAAAGTAGAACACGGCTATGTTGGGTGTTGGCATCTTGGGAACTTATTTGCATTTAGGTGGACAAACAGCATCGACAGTAACGTGAGAGCTGCGTTGAACCATTGTGGTGAAGAGGAAGCTGGAAGGCACAACTCTTGGTTTACCTGTGAGTCCAACTCTTACCTTTGGTTGTGCGCTCTGGGTAGTCACTGGAAAAAATAGAATATATCAGAGCATTAATGAGATGCGAGTGGCCAAAGTGATTTCCTCTGTGTGGTTCTGCCTTTGAGATGGGGTGAGGAGCAGCTCAGACATCTGGAAGGAGCTTGGAGTAGATTTGCTGCTCCTTTGCGGTGAACGGAGCTGAGTTCCAGCTGGTTCTAGCGTCTGATTGCCTACAGGACGCCTCCTTTTGAAGATTTTCCATGTTACTGAGAGGAGACCCAGAACTCACCGAGGAGAGGGTTGCTCAGCAGAGAGATGTCTGGACTGACCTGTTTGACCTGCCGCCACCAGAACCGCTGACCCCGGACAAGAGGAAGAATGATGGACGTATGCTCGGACTTTATTCCTTACATGCTGTACAGTGCGCTCACCTCAGGAAACGTGATTAATTAATTGTTTAAAACTTTAAACAAACTGATTTAAGTTCAGCTGGCTTCAAGGTACTCTAGATACGAGTTATTGTCAGTTCTGATGGTACCTGACTGATCCAATGAGTCTATATATATAAATAATGGAATAGCAGCAAACAAAAAAGTTTAATTGTGACTAAATTCCGCCTGTTATTCATCCAATAAACTCTCAATGACCCCAAGTGGTGCTATTATCCGTTCAGCCCGTGCTTTTATTTTTAAGCCTTTCCGGTCGTGCCGTGTGCGCATGTGCTGGTCTTGACGCAGCGCAGTGCAGCCAGGCGCAGCGCACCACAAAGCTCGACGGCATGAGAGGAATGGAAAAGTGGCAAACGGGTAAATCGGGGATAGTCTCTGGGTTTGTGTCGGAGCTGACAGAGCAACAGGTAGTGAGACGTGTCGATGGTCTGCAGGTGGAGACGAACCATCAACCCGAACCGGCCTCTGACAACAGGTTGTTCTCCAGCAGCCCGAACCAAATGCACCATCCATTTTGAATCCATCAGCGTGTAGTTGACAGAACAGACTCATTCCAATTATTAATCACTTAATGTAGGGGTGAATACAGACTCTGTGACTGATGCATAATTGTACAAACTTCTGTTATGTGGCTTTAGTGAAGCAAGTTGTTTGGGAATTCAGTGGAAGTATCGTCATATTCTGGGTTTTTATTCCATTATCATGCCATTTAAATATCCAGCATCTTGCAGAATGTGTATTTTTAGAGTAACACTTCCTTCAACTTGCACCTTGAGTCAACAGTCCTGCAGCCACCAACGCTGCCTGATGAGCAGCAGACTGGCCTCCAGCCGCCTCATGTCTGGGTGTTTGTCTCCACCTAGTGGAGCAGCGGCCACACTACAGCAGCAGCAGCCTGAGGGCCCATGGTTCTGACTCATGGTGCAGCCCACAGAGAACAGGAGGCCATTAATAAGTGATTAGGAAAATAATGCACTCTGTAAGTTCCAGTGTTTGTGTTGTCACTTCTTAAAGCAAAAAATAAAAAAACAACATCTACAGTAAAACCTGCAAACAGCAGAGACAGACTTTGGCCTTTGGGTTCATAAACTTCCTACAAGACTGCAACAGGAAATACAGATAACGGATCCAAAGACACTCTATAAACAGATTTAGAATTAGAGCAACTTGTCCAGACTGCTGGCTTTGTAGATTAACATGATATAATTATAAAACACAAGCAAAAAAACACATATATGTATAAAGTCAACATGGAAATTAATATTTTCTGTGTGATTTTATTATTTGTAATTTTTTTTTAAACTGAGAAAATCTGTAAAATGACAGTAAATGTTTTTGTAAAATGAAGAATATCTGTAATTTTTTTTCAAGCTAACTTAAATACAGTAAAACTGTATAATTTTCAAGTCACACACTTTTTCAAACGGTGGCAAATATCTGTAAGATAATGATGTTTCTTTTACTGATTTAACACAGTAATATAAGTTGTGTCGTATTACAGTCAAACTTTGTCAAATAAATAATTACAAATTCTGAAATTGAGGATTTTGTAATTTAATGAGTCCTTTCTGTGATTTAACTCACTATTATCTGTAATGTAACAAAACAGGTTAAATATGTAAAATAACAGTAAAATGTTATTTTTAAAAAAACGTAAATATCTGTAAAATAAAGATATTTTTAGCAAACACAAAAACAGCAAAACTGTGCAGCATATATTGTAAAAGAACAAAATGCTGTCCTATCCTATATGTATTAATTTATACAGTCACTAACCTCTTAAGACCTGGTGTTCACATTTTAGGTTATATTACCACAGTAGTTATTATTATTATTTTTCAAAATATGTATTATTATTGTACTATTTTTATTTATTTATTTATATTTTTAAAAAATATTTGTATCAAAAATATTTTAAATATATTTTAAACATATATTTTATTTAATTAATATTTTTACATTTTTTTAAATTCCTCTTTGCTATTTGATTTGATCAGATCAAATAGCAAAACGGAATTTTAAAAAATGCATCTCAAACAAGAGCTTGGGTATTAAGAGGTTAATAAATAATATAAATTACATAAATTAATACTTTTTCTAGTAAATTGTTTTATAAAAATACCATTTTTTAAAACTAATTTTAAAAAAAGGTAAAATGGTACAAACTGAAGAAATGACTTTTGTAGAAGATTTTTGATGTAGAAATTATTTAGTTTTGTCCTGTTTTCTTACAGTTAGCATGTTGTTGTTGGAATAATGTTCCTTCTGTTTATTAATCTATTGGCCTCCTAACGAAGGAGTTCTTTTATTAGGGGGACCATGTTTTTGATCACCGAAAACCAGGACACTCAGCAAGGAGATACTCAAACGATACTGGAGGTTTACTCAGAGATGCCTCATAGTTTCAATACATTTAAAGCAGGGATGTATGACCACATCGGTATCGGCCGATATCAGTGTTTGTTCTCATATATTATCGGTCCGATGAACACATTTAGCCGATGATGTCTAACATCAGCGCCTTCGTCTCTACGTTTGATTTCGCTGCTGTTTCACAATGTTTTTACTTTAATGGTCCTTTAACGTTAAATATGTTTTTTGTTTCGTCATAAAGAAGACCATGTGGTCTAAGTTGGGCTTCTTTTGCATAGTTTTCTCTCAGTGCTTACTTAAACTCATTTTTCAGTGTGAACAAAAATTGAACATCGACATCGGTGATATCAGAAGTCTTCATATCGGATATCGGTAACGGGCAGAAATTTGAATATCGTGCATCACTAATTTAAAGCATGTCTCCTCTGTAGGGATAGAAGATTGTTATATTACCAAATACTATCTGTAGCCAAACACACAAATTAAAATGGGCTTCTCAGAGGTTACTCAACATGTTTTAATATGACAAGTTTCAAAAATAAGGAATAAAATAATGTCTCGTTTGTGTTAGAGAAAAAATATACCTCTGCTATATTAACAATCCAACTTTGTTACAAAAAAGTTCTCACAAACTTACAAAAACTAACAGAAAATCTCTACATCTTTAACTTTCTTCCTCATCCTCCTTGTTTGTCAGTCTCCTCTAAGTATAATAACTCACCCTATAGGCTACTTTTACAACATTTCTCGACAGAAGTGTTCCCACAGCAGCTTGTCCTCCTCCCGCATCTCCTCCATGTGTCTCCTCCTCCTCCCGCATCTCCTCCATGTGTCTCCTCCTCCTCCGTCTCCGGCGCACCGCTTCCATTCAACTACACGGCGGCCGCTGATTGGCCGAGGCGCGCCGTCTCCTGCCGTGGACCAATCAGCGCGGGCCACGGTGAGATTTTTCGATCTACTTTTGTGGGAGCCGCAGCGGAGCAGCCCGGTAGTGTCGGCCGATTTAACGGAGCGAGGAGCCGCGCAGAGAAAACCATGGGACCGCTTTTCCTCGGTGAGTGGCGGCCCGAGCGGCTCTTTAAACCCGCAGGAGGTGCCGTGTTGGCGGACGGGTTCGCGGTGGAGGCGCTGTTCGGCTCGGTTAGCTCGAGCAGCTAAGCGAGGCAGCGGAGAGCCGAGCAGGGCCTCCGGTACCGCTCACTCAGTGGGTTTATTCATCTGCTAAATGTGGGTGAAAACTGCGTGTAAAGTGGGTTAGGACGGGTTCTGTCGGTGCTGACTCGGGCCCGTGTGTCTGCTGCTTTAACTCAGAGTTCTGCTTGTTGTGTTCCAGGAGCGCTGGGCTGCTGCCTGGTTCTGTCCGTCCAAGCCCTGTACTCGTCCGGCGATGATGTGGTGGAGCTCAACCCCTCCAACTTCAACAGGGAGGTGATCCAGAGCGACAGTCTGTGGCTGGTGGAGTTCTACGCGCCCTGGTGAGTCCCTGGACCTGTTGGTTCTGGAGAACCTCACATCAGCCATAGTTTAGATCGAAGGAAATGATGGTTCGGTCAGCAGCTGGATCACTGCTCCTCACCCAAACATTAACCAGGTGATAGGAGGAGACCTTTCAGACCAGGCTGGTGGCTCCTCCTCGCGTGGAAGTGATAAAACCAGCAGAGGATGGATGTTAGTGTAGATAAAACCAACCTGCATGCACACAAACACACACACAGGAGCTTCATAGACGGGAAGCAAAGCAGATAGAACCGATGTAAATCAAAGCTCACTGGTTCTGTGACCAGGTTTTATTCACGCTGCACCGATTCACAGAACACCAGTCATCCCAGGACACACAGTGTAGTAAAGGTCCAGAGGTACCAGCACTGAGGACAAAACAGAAAGTATTCAAGAGAAACAACACGAAGCTGAAGCTGGTGGTACAAACACCCAGAGAGGAGATAAACGACAACAGGAGTCACAGTTGAATGAATTCATTCAGCAGCAGGTGTGAGCAGCTCATCCGGTTCAACTCACAGTTAAGTTCTGAACCGATGCAGTTAACGGTTTGTTCAGGATCTAAACTCTTCTGTCTGTGATTTTAGAAACACAACGGCCACATGTTTGATGGTATCTGATGTAACGTCATCACACATCGAAATCACAATCTAACATCATCCCCATTGTGTTTATGTTCGTTCAGCTCTTCTGTGCTGCAGAACTCAACTAACTCAGATGATTTAAAACCTCGATGCAGAATAAATACGACTGATTATCGACTCCCTGCATCTCTTCTGTTTATTGTCACAGGTGTGGCCACTGCCAGAGCCTCACACCTGAGTGGAAGAAGGCAGCGACTGCCCTCAAGGTAAACAAGACGCCTCCGGCCATGTTGGGTTCAAGACTGACTGACTGACTGAAACATGTAGGAGCCAGCAGTAGAGGGATGCTGATATGTGCTCTAATTAAATACACAAGGACCAGATTCTTTAAGGATGAGGGTAAAAGTCATGAGCAGGAAGGTGAAGGCGGTTTGACTTCACTCTTTTCTGTTCTAAAAAACTATTGTTATGGGCGGCTGTGGCTCAGAGCGGGTTGTCCTCCAGTCGTAAGGTTGGCGGTTCGATCCCCTCCACAGTCGAAGTGTCCTCGGGCAAGACACTGAACCCAAAGTTGCTCCCGATGGCAGGCAGCAGCTTGATGGCAGCTCTAGAAGCGCTTTATAAGTGCAGCCATATTAAAAGACAACAGTGAAGCTCTGATCTACCTACAAATATTAATAAAAGAAAAGTTTGAACCGTGATAACCTGTCGTAATTATGACATAACTGCCTGATTTATTGATTTATTTTTAGAGCCGACTACATGATTTGCGTTCACCTTTATTAAAACGGCAGCGTGACACTAAATTAAACGTCCTTTTTAAGTTGTTTTTCGTTCTTTCTGCTGTGATTTACAGACACTGACTGTTCATCCTGAGATGCTTAATGTTAAATATTCAACCCACAGCATTTCACTGAACATTTATTAACATTAACCGCATTAATTTAACACCAGCAGCAGCTCTGTGGGCGCGTTCTGGTTTTAGGCCAAATCAAACAGGAGAAGCCGGTGTGGTGGAGGGGGGGCGCTTTGTAAAGGTGCTGATCAAAGGCACTGATGTCAAACTAACAGAGGCAGCAAATGAACAAAAAACCAGACAAATAGTTGATGGCAGTGATTTGTATGACTGTTAATCATCTACAAACGTTTCATGATCACGACGGATCTACGAGCCGGGGCGTTAGGATGTGGGCGGACGTGGACCAGATCCACACAACAACAGGATTTATTCTGTGGACTGAGCTGTCCTGAGCGTCGTCATCACCTCTGATAATATTCATCTGAACCACGTTGTTCACAGCAACATGAAAACCGAGCGCGTGTTTGACATTCATGCTGCTAAACCAGAACGATATATCAACTTTCAGACTGTTGATCCCGACCTGTTGTTCTTTTTTTCTTCTTCTGTTCTTCAGGGTGTCGTCAAGGTCGGTGCCGTGGATGCCGACCAGCACAAGTCACTGGGTGGCCAGTATGGCGTCAAAGGGTTTCCCACCATCAAGATCTTTGGAGGCAATAAGAACAAACCAGAGGCGTACCAAGGTACAGCCGACGCTCCTGGTGCAGCTTTGTCATCAGGAGTTAATTGTTTTCACTGACAGATAAATCTTCTGAGAAAGTGAGCCACAAGTGAGCTTCGTGCTGTCTTTACTAGTTTTCTTTCGAGGCCACACAGTAATGAAACCTGGATGTCCTTCACTCCTCAGGAGGACGCAGCAGCCAGGCCATCGTGGACGCAGCCATGAACGCTCTGCGCTCTCTGGTCAAAGACAGGCTGAGCGGCAAGTCCGGCGGCTCCAGCTACAACCAACAGGTGGGTGGCAGTTAGTAGGAGATTAAAAAAGAAATAAACCTGCACTTGATTGTGGTCACGTGACACTCGTGTGTCTTTCTGCAGAGCGGCGGCGGCGGCGGCGGCAGCAAGAAGGACGTGGTGGAACTCACCGATGACAACTTTGACAGGATGGTGCTGGACAGTGACGACGTGTGGCTGGTGGAGTTCTTCGCCCCCTGGTGTGGACACTGCAAGAAGTGAGTTCAGCGCCGGTTCATCACTGTGAACACGAGAGGGGCCGCTGCTAATACGATGCATGCTGTACGTCTTTCTGCTGCCGCCCTGTTCAGCAGAAGGTTATTGGGATTTCTCGTTCGTCGCGCTGGAAGCTTTTCGCTAAACTAAAGGGCAATGCTGGAAACAGTGGCTCAGCGAGTCTGGATAATCCACAGACCTTCTATTACCTCAGTAGAATTAAACCCATAATGAAGCTGTTCAGTGGGATCTGAGCTGAAGTCTGGTTTCTACATTAGAAGTCGGTATCTCACCAGCACACATTAGCAATAGTTTGTAGTTAGTTTGTCATTTCAGACGCTTTGTAAGGTCATTAGAAGAAACTGCCAGGCTGTGAATTCTGTACTTTGGGGGGGAAAAAACAAACAAACTCCTCGAGTATGTGATGAAGATTTTTCTTTACTATCTGTCTCCTCGGTCGACAGCCTGGAGCCTGAGTGGGCAGCTGCAGCCACAGCTGTCAAGGAGCAGACCAAGGGCAGAGTCCGCCTGGGAGCCGTGGACGCTACCGTACACCAGGTCGTGTCCAGCCGCTACGGGGTGAGTAGGAGCTGAGAAGAGCTGCTGCATTTCTAAACGCAGAGAAACAAGTTTCATTTTTTTTAAGAAGGGTGTTTGACTTCCTTTACATACCAAATGAGTTTTAAACTCTGAGTTGCATCAGTTTTGCATCCGAGGCTTTGACTTTGAAAACATGCCGGCATGTAAAGTCTGAAGTGACTGATTGTTTTAGTGTTCTTCTACCTATTACACACAGCTGTTGGACACTGAATTAAAGTCTCTGAAGTCTGTTAATGTTCAAGCAAAGCTCTAAACCTGTGTTTGCGGTGGGTCGAGCCGGCCGCGCTAATTAAACAACGATGACTTTGCTCGAGGGAATCCAGCTTCAAAGTCAAAGCTGCATATCTTTAATTTCTCTTTTAATTTGCATCTCTTCCTCCATATCATCCTGCTTCAGCTAAAATCAAAGGGTTTTTTTTGTGTGTGTGTCCAGATCCGCGGATTTCCCACCATCAAGGTTTTCAAGAAGGGCGAGGAGCCCGAGGACTACCAAGGAGGTCGCTCCCGCGGAGATATCATCGAGAGGGCTCTGGAGCTGTTCTCTGACAACGCTCCTCCTCCTGAAGTGGTGGAGGTCAGCACACACACACTTCCATGATTAGACACACATTTGGACGTGTATACATAAAGTCACAATCTACATTAGAAAGATGTCAGATTTGCACCACACAAATAGTATCTGCCAAATTCATCTCTGACTATATGTGCACTCAAAATATAAGTGCAGGGAGGTGGAGAGAAAGTCTGCAGCTCTAATGTTAATGTATGTTATTCCTGTGCGAACTGTCAACCACATAGCTGCTGGATTACGTACAGTATTATGCCGCTTGCATCATCAACATCATCTCAATGCTTCATTCTTGAGATATCAGAGTTGTTGTCAGTACTGGTTTATCGAATGGTTTGCCTCAAATTGACACGATAATCCCTTTTAAATGTATAGTTTACAAGCACTGGCTGCAACACATCTGATCAGACAAGTAAAATAAACTCAGACAAAGTAAACCCAACATCCCAACAGAGCACGCATTAAAAAATGTTGTGAATTTGTCTCTCAGATCCTCGGTGAAGACATCCTGAAGAAGACCTGTGAGGACAGTCAGCTGTGTATAATCGCTGTCCTGCCACACATCCTGGATACAGGTGGGACCACACACACACACACACACACACACACACACACACACACACAACAACAATTATCAGGAAATTTTACTTGTCGTTTAAAGCTCCACCCGTCAGCTGTGGGGATAAATCTCACTCAGAACACAGGATTTGACAGATATATTAGAGGCAGTAATTCTTCCTCATTCCTCACCGTCGTCTGCTGTCCTCGTACCTGAACAGGTGCAGCAGGTAGGAACGGCTACCTGGAGGTGATGGTGAAGATGGCTGAGAAGTACAAGAAGAAGATGTGGGGGTAAGGACCTGAGACCAGCAGCCACAGATTATTAACATTCACACTACTAGCTGTGACTAACGGTCTGCTCTGCGTCCTGGCAGCTGGCTGTGGACTGAGGCCGGGGCTCAGATGGAGCTGGAGGCCTCTCTGGGTATCGGTGGCTTCGGTTACCCCGCCATGGCTGCCATCAACACGCGCAAGATGAAGTTTGCTCTGCTCAGGGGCTCCTTCAGCGACACTGGCATTCATGAGTTCCTGAGGTAAAGGGTGCCGTTCTGTGATGATTCTTTTATGCCAATCAAAGCAGAAACTTGATCCAAAGTAGGCTCAGCAGTTTCACTCACTGGTTTCTTTTCTTTTCAGGGAGCTTTCTGTGGGCCGCGGCTCAACTGCCACACTGGGAGGCGGAGTAATGCCCAAGATTCATGCTGTTGAACAATGGGACGGCAAAGACGGACAGGTGAGACGGTTTACTGACGTCTGTCTGGACAGTCGCAGCTTAGAGGCCTTCAGCCAAACAGCCACAAAACTCTGAACCCCAAAAACCCCAAATAATCACGTTATCTTAAAAAGAATCTCAACATTACAACACTTGGCATAGAAGGAGGGCTGCAGGTGGCTCGGTGGTTAGCACCGTCGCCTCACAGCTAGAAGGTCACTGGTTCACGTCCCGGGATCTTTCTGTGTGGAGTCTCCATGTTCTCCCCGTGCAGCATGGGTTCTCTCCGGGTTCTCCGGCTTCCTCCCACAGTCCAGAAACATGCTGAGGTTAATTGGTGATTGTAAATTGTCCGTAGGTGTGAATGTGAGTGTGCTTGGTTGTCTGTCTCTAAGTGTAGCCCTGTGATAGACTGGTTACCTGTCCAGGTGAACCTGCCTTCACCCTGACTCAGCTGGGATAGACTCCAGCCCCCCACAACCCTTGTACATGTTTCATTTCCAGATTTTGTTTTAAAAAAAATTTACAAATTCTGCAGTTCTTGACGCAAGCATGAAGCCATAAATGGCTCAGCTGGGACCAACAGTGACAAAAATTCAGACCTTCTGGCTGAACTGCAGGCTGTGTTTCCACAGAGCAGATATGAGACGAGCACGGAAACGGTTTTTAAAAATAGAAGCGGTTAAATATCTGTAGCTTGTAGAGTTGTATGTTTCACAGCTGGGGGTGAAATGCTGTGTATGTCCAGCAGCAAGTTTCCTGTTTTGTTTTGTTTTTTTCCTTCTCATCATTTTTATAAAATAAATAGTCAAATAAATTCAACTTCAACAGTTTTGCTGAACTACGTGGAGCACATCTGCAGCTGAACAGTAAAGGTTCTGTGACTGTTGCAGCTGTTTGGGTGAAGTCTGGTTGAATATCAAGTGTGAAAGGGAGAGAAGACAGAACCTGCTCGGGGTAGATGCCGTCCATGTCGTTCACCTTTCTGCGCAGCACGAACCTCACAGTCAGGACGTGCTCATAAAAATGGAATGAATTTGACGAGGGACAAACGTTTATGTCAGGGAGCCATAAACCAGCAGAAGTTCCTCTAACATTCAGTCAAGGGCGAGCGGTTCGAGGTGAACACGTGGTTTATCTGTAAGCTGTAGCATCATAAATGAAACCCAGCTTCTTCCACCTCTGTACTGCAAACACGCACGCTATCGCCTCTCTTATGTAACATCGCAGGTGCAGCGTTCTCAAAAAAAATCCAGATAACACATCTCTCCTCGCAGCGCCTGCACCTGTCTGCCTCAGTTTAGAACTCTTCAGAACTCTTACCGCCGTCGTTGCTAACAGCTTGTCTATTCTACCCTCCTGTGTCCACCTCAGCTCCCCGAGGAGGAGGACTACGACCTCAGCGACGTGGACCTGGACGACATTTTCGAGAAGACTGAGTTATGAGTCCAGAGCAGGCCGGGATCTGATCCAGATTTGCTCGGTGGGATCTGGTCCGGTCCGGTCCTGCGCGACCCGCCTCCCCTCTCCTGTGGACGAACGGGAGGCCCGGTCGCCCAGTTACTGAAAAACTCCAGAAAAGACACATATGAGAGACACCTGCGGTTTCTCACGTCATCTTTCAGCCACGCGGGGACGGGAGGGAGGGCAGCCGGCGTCCTGTCCCCGGAGTGAACTGGTTCTCACGTACCTGCTGAACGTTTGGAATATTTATACAGCCGCCGCCAGCTGAGGAGGAGGAGGAGGAGGGAGGAGGTTCTGAATGTCACACTTGAGCTGCTCATTCAAGTCCTGTTCAAACGTCGCTCCCTCTCCCGTCTCCAGCCGCCCTCCAGCACCTATTTTAAGACGTGGACTTGTCAAAGTAACACTTCAATGTCCACCCTGATGTGACTTATAATGTTTTTTCTCTTTTTAAACCAGTGAACGGGATCACGGTGGGGCCCAGGACACGGGGGGGATACTGTCGGGAGTTCTTGTGTAGATTTTTCTTACACGACTTTATTTCAAATGTGTGAAAACAAAATGACATTTTTGTTACAAAAATAAAAAGGAATAAAAACAATCACGGGCTTCTTATTCACATAAACCGTCACGATATCAGAAAATCACTGAGCGCATGCAATACCGAATGCATATAGAGCCTGCTCAGAACACCAGCGTGTGCCGTCTGAGCTGCTGCTGATGTCCTGAACAACAACAACAACAACAATAAGCCACAATTCAACAGTTGAGTTGAATCAAATCATACTAAGTGATTTAATTAGTTTCCTCTTGGTGTAACATAACGGGCCGTCATAATACTTAGAAGCGTACAATCCAGTCAGTATAAATATAATATGGCACTTCACTGAGGGAGCAGGACGGGTAGAAACCATGTCAAGGCAAAGAGAGCTTTGGAGAAGCACAAACACGGGACAGCGTAACTGAGAAGCACTTTGTAGTCCAGCGAGACGGAGCCACAGCGACGACGATGTAAACAACAGGACATGGAGTGTATGAATGAGACGGGGTGACGACGACCAAGCCTCTATCAGAGAAACGGCAAAAAGCTGGACGCATGTGGGCGTGCATGTGTTGCAGAGTGTGTGTCTGTCATTGTCCAATGTGTCCTCAGAACTGACGAGAGGCTCCCTGATCCGACTGCAGCAGTCTGACGATGGACGGGTCGCTCTTGGCACCTTTAATAAACTCCTCCAGAGACAGTCTACCTGTAGAGCACAGACCAAGAAAACAATCTGAGAACACCCAGCAGCAGGAAAAACGTGACGCAGCAACAAAAAAAGAAAAAGCTTCTGATGTTCCTTTTGAGCTCAAGTCTAATCAGCGCTGGCCCAGATTCAACAAAGTACGCCGTGTCTTTCTAAGAACATCACAGTGAAGTCACATCATCGTGGAGCCATTTATAGCCGTCGAGTCACATCAGCCAGCAGGTGATGATGTCGGACTTCATGGAAATCCAGCAGTTCTTTATGAGAACTGATCTTTCATTAGTAAGAATAGCTGGTGATGTTTGTTTACAGCTACACATGAATGCTTTTTAATAATAATAAAAAATAACATTTCAGCAACTAATTGCAATGTTTTTAATATAGAAATTAATTTAGAGATAATTGAAACACCATTTACAAGATTACACAAACCAAAATGTATCTTAATAAAAATATAAATAAAATAATATTATTTTCTCTTCTTCAAGCTCTGGGAGTTTGGATTGTTTTGTCAAAAGTACATCAGGGTGTGCATTTCATATTTCCTAAAATCTTTCCTTAACAATCCTAAACCTGCTATTTTTTAGGAAGTTTTTTAGGAAAAACGAACAGAACCCATAAAAACAGCCTTAACATAGCGACAGCCTTGGATTGTGACTCCGACATGACATTTAATGTCACCAATCAGGATGACGGCGTATTATCTGACTGAACAATCCCACAGATTGGCTACATTCACACTGCAGGACTT